TTGTTCGAATCCGTTGAGCAAGGTAAAATTAACCCATAAAATTCATAAAATAATTATCCTGTGAAGTGTATGCAACAGGGTGAACTTAACCCTTAAAATTCAAAATAAATAATTACCCTATGAAGACGATTGGATCCCAACTTTATTTTAAAATTAAAAACCATAAATACACTCACCAAAGTACACTGTTAGCGGAAATCCCTTCCGAACCGTCAAGCAGGGTGAAATGAACCCTTAAACTTCAAAATAAATAATTGCCCTATGAAGACGACTAGATCCCAACTTTATTTTAAATTTAAAAAAACATAAATACACTCACCAAAGTACACTGTTAGCGAAAATCCCTTCCGACTGAAGGAAGGGATTTTGCCATTTCTCAGTCACATGTACTGGAAAAAGTTTAGAAAAATACGACAGCTTACAAGCATCAGCAAACAGTTTTTCATTAGCAGTAACTTTTAAAATACTTCTGTGGAAAACCATAAATAAATAATTCTAATTGTAGTAGAACGAAAGAAAAAAATCTACCATCTGAATAAAACCTCCCATACATAGTAATAAATTTCAATTTAGTCAAAATATGAAGTAAAATGGAACAGGAAATTGTCCAATAAAATGCAATGACAGCTTTTCCACATGATTTATTTCTATGAACTCGAATTTCATCAATAACGATCATTTCGAAAGCCACCTAATCCATAAATGATTGAATTCATATTACATATTCGATATTTGGCGAAAAAAAAAAAACGAAGTTGGTTGTGGTTATGTTTCCGGTCCCGTGTTATTTCGAAAAAATAAAATTTGAACGCCATCATTTGTATTGTTTTCATGTTGTGAATAGTAAATTTAAAAACAAAACTTTTCTTTTATACAATAGACAAAATAATGTTTTAGTAAAGTGCCTGAGGCGTTAAAAATATGAAAACCTCGAACTTGAGCTGCAGTGAATGAAATTTATAAATTCAAAATGAAATATTTTGCTACTAATATATACAGGGTGTCCCAAAACTGCTGGGATTCAGAGCTGCAACGTTGTAGAGGTCAAAGTAAGTCGATTGGACCCAATTTATTTATATACCAAAATGTACCGTTTTCCCGTGAAAAGAGGTCAGAGTTTACATAAAAAAACATATTTTTGTTCGCTGTTCAGAAATGAGTAAAACAAACTAAATGAAATTTAACAGAAGTGCCTTTTAGAGGATTGCTCTCCTTTCGGTGATTAAAGAAACCCAGAAGAAATTGTAGAAGGGTTAAAACCACCCTCACACAATGACATTTTTTTAGAACTTTCTTAGGGGTAGCAATACTGTTCTCAAATTTTAAAGCGAGAAGACTTATTAATTATGTTCATTTTGTTACTCTTGTAAAAATTTCGTATTCGGCATAGTTCCAAAGGAAAAAAGTGTTCTTAAATAATGCTAACAGATATTCCTAGTATAAGTTTAATAAAATTGTAATCCAAATTCAGATGGCAGTGGAAACAAAGGTAAAACATTTTTTTTAATATATATGTTCAATATGACCGCCACCTTTATCAATACAAGGGTCATTTCGACGTAAAACTTCAAATGCACCCTTCTTTGGACATCGTTTTCTCGTAGTGCGTTTACGGCATTTTGGATTCTGTTTCACAGCTATTTGAAAGTATTAAACTTTTACTTTTAACGCCCCCCAGATAAAGAAGTCGCACGGATTTAAATCTGGAGACCGCAGAGGCAATTGAATAGGTGCTTCATTGTCCCCTACCAATCCATCTACCAGGAAATTGTTCTTTTAGATATTCTCTTACTACACGTGCTAAATGAGGTGTTTTCAATGCTTAGGGCTGGATAACTAAGTTAAAGGTTACTATTGATCTAAGTAAAAATTTACTGGTTACCCCTCATAGTAAAACAAAAATAAAATACTACAAGATTCCTCAGAGCATGAATTGTATAGTAGTGCCTCCAAGATCTGAACAAATAATTAAAATAAATTTAAAAAAACATAAAAAAATGGAGAAGTTATGATACCTTATACGCGAGTTTCAGAATTAGAAATTTCACAGTGTATAATTGTAGCAAAAAATAATACAGCTTTATGTACTATTTTAAATAAAACAGAATCAAATATCGCAGTAGATTTAAATGAACCATTGGAAGCAGAATTGTTAGATCGATCCAATTCAATCTCTCAATTTTAATAGTTTTACTACCACAAAAATAAAATTTGATATTTCTACAGTTCGTACTAAACATTCAGAAGAATGGCAAACAATGTTAAAACTTATTAGAGAATATTCTGATATTTTTCATATAGACGGTAATAAATTAACATTTACCAGTAAAATAAAACATGAGATAAAAACGACTGACGAATTACCGGTGTACACTAGATCGTATAGGTACCTTGAGGTACCTACATCGTAAGGAAGTTCAAAAACAGATTCAAAGTATTTTGGATCAAAATATTATAAGGCCTTCGAGTATCTGGGTTGTAAGTAAAAAACCCGATGTCTCTGGACAACAAAAATGGCACATAGTTATCAATTATAGGAAATTGAATGATAAAACTATAGGGGCAGACATCCCCTATCCAATATTATGACCTTGCTTGACAAGCTAGGACGATGTCAATATATTTCAACGCTTAATTTAGCGTCGGGTTTTTACCAGATTCAAATTGCAGAAAACGATATACCTAAAACTGCATTTAATACCGAAAATGGTCATTATGAGTTCTTGTGCATGCCCTTTGGACTCAGAAATCCGTCAGCGACCTTCCAAAGAATGATGAATAATATTCCACGTATCTAGACGATATTATTATTTTCAGTACTAGTTTGCAAGAACATGTAACTCGCTTAAAAGAAGTATTTGATAGATTAAGAAATTCAAATGTTAAATTACAGTTGGATAAATGTGATTTCTTAAGAAAGGAGGTAACATATTTAGGCCACACTGTTACCCTGAAAAATCAATCGCTATTAAAAAGTATCCGATTCCCAAAAATACAATTGAAATTAAAGAATTCCTAAAACTTTTGGGCTATTACAGAAAGTTTATTCAAAATTTCTCAAAAATTACTTTACCGCTTACTAAACGTTTAACGAAAGGAGCTGTAATTAATACTACAGATCCGGACTATGTAGAGTGTTTTGAACTTTGCAAAACACTTTTAATCAACGAACCTATCCAGCAATATCTTGATTTTTCGTCGCCGTTTATTCTTTCTACGGATGCAAGTAACTTTGCAATAGGGGCTGTTTTAAGCCATAGAAAAATCGGCAGCGACTTTACCAGTTGTTTATGCTACCCGAACTTTAAATAAATCAGAGATTTCTTATATAATAGTCCACTATTAAGAAAGAAATGCTCGCTATCATATGAAAAAAGTTTCGGATATACTTATACTGACGCAAAAGCTTAGTGGTTGTTCTCTCTGAAGGAGCCCAATTCTAAACTTGTTAGGTGGCGTCTAAAACTTGCTGAATACGATTATGAAATAGTATACAAAAAGGGTACTCTTAATTAAAATTGCGACGCCTTGTCTAGAATACAATTAAATTTAAATGGAACCGAAAATCAGTCAGGTACTTCAAAGGCTCTGTTGGTGACAACCTCCACTATTATTATTTCATTAGTTACTTTTTATTACATCAAGTTGGTAACTTTGATAACTTGGTTTCCTGCTGGATTTGATTCAGACAGGAAGTACTATCAGTTCACTCTGAACTGTGGCCCGATTGTACAAACCAAGCTAAAACCTAAGTTCAGGTGAACTCGGTAAATAGTTGAACTTATCTTAAAAATTGATATAAATTGTACATACCCCGCTCAACGTAGGTTTAGATAAACTTCATTGTTCAGGTTTGCCAGATTTCAATTTTACTAAATATGCCATTTTTGGCATTTTTACTCTAACATTATTATTTTTAGAGGTTATACGTAGTTTTCCCTTGTGTTTCCAGGCTGATAATATGGAAAATATGAATGTGCAGTCAAAAAGAACGCCAAACTTCACGCATGCCGAAGAAGGTTTACTAGTGAAACTAGCGAAAAAATATAAAGTCATTTTAGAAAATAAAAAGACCGATGTGAATGTAACGCGCATTTAATTCACAAAGTGGTGTTATATTCTAAAAAATCCACGTCTTTAGACATTTCATCCATTTATATGAAACAACTTCTATTAATTAGGAATTCAGTAATTCGTATTTATCTTGTGTTCTATTTACCTCTCTACGGTGTACGGTTTGCGTACGGTAACGTATAAGGTACCAACCCAAAAAATATTTTTTTGTAGTGTGTTACCAACTAACTAAATTCAGAAATAGGTCTGAATTCGGTTTAAGCGCGGTAACATGACCGCTTTGTTGAACCTATAGATGAACTCAGTTTATATTCTGAACTAGTATTGTACAACTCCAAGAACCAGGTTCACGCTAAACCGAGGTTCAACTCGCGTTGTACAATCGGGCCTAATAACTGTTTAGCAGTAGCAACCATAACAGATTGCATTTTTATTGTATTATAATATATTCCTTATCAATCTCTGTCTTCTGGGCATCTTATGTAAGTCTGGCTTCTTGTTATATCTTTCACTCCTCTGTAAATAATTTTAACCTTCATGGGTTTCTTTACCTTGTTGTAGGGCACATTCATAAATCCTCTTCGATCTTTGGCTAATAACACTGGAAGCGAACATTCTTCCGCTTTGAAACTTCTTGAAATACTGACTTTTTCTAATGCAAAACTACTAATTAATACAACTTTTACACTTTTTTGGAAGGTAAAATAGAACAAAAACAAAGTAACTGCACGTACCAATAAAGAAACCAAGTAACTGCGATGCAGTTACTTTCTTTTTAATTGGTAAAGTGCATTTATTTTATTAAACCCTAAACTAAAAAATTGTTAAAATTCAAAGTTAAATATTTTAATAAAAACCAAGTAACTAAAATACAGTTACTTCGTTTTTATATTGTCAAATACACTTATTTTGTTTTTATTTTGAAAATGTTTGTAAGTATGAGCAGTTACTTGATTTGACCGATGCTTTATCTTCGGTGTTTACTGTTCGATTGCAAAGATTTTTATACCGAACAGAGCAAGGTCGGTTAATGTAAAAAGTCAATTTTTTAAAAATGTTATTTACTAGGTTTTTATTTTGGATAGCCATTATGACTTCTCCGTTTTTGTATTTTTATAATTGTTGTATTCGTGATCAGTGCATTGGATCAAAATAAATATGGTCACCTTATATTACACAGAAGTTAGTTTTGTAAATCTTTATTAAAAGTATTTCCTGTAAAATGTAGACAGTCATTTAATTGTATCTTCTTCTTAACAATGATTTATTTTTATTGTAGTTGGAAACTGAAATATTGCAGTCTAAACCAACAGACAATAAATAAAGAAGCCAATTATACAAAAAAACGAGAGACATTTGCAGGATCAACAACACTAAGTGCTGGACAAAAAATGAAAATATCTTCGCTCGTAATCCGGCGAACTCCAAAATCGACAAAATCGAGTCAGAGGCGGATCTAAAAAACCTACAAGATAACTTAAATGCTCCTACCACGCATCAAGCGCATTTTTAACAGGGTCTAACAGTTCATTCTATCCGAAACTCTACTACCAGAATATTAGGGGACTGAACACAAAATGCCATGAATTTTTCACATCAACTATAAGTTCTGACTATCAATTTATTGCCATAACTGAATCATGGCTTCAGGAGGGTGTTGCAAATTCTGAACTCTTTAATGACAATTACACTGTATATAGAGGTGATAGAAATCTAACAGCATGCTCTCGAACTACTGGTGGTGGTGTTATCTTAGCTATAGACAAATCATTTAAATCTAATCAACTAGATGTTCAAGTATTTTGTGAAAATATTCCTAAAATCGACATAGAGTACTTACATCATGGCAAAGTTGTTATTACTGGTGACTTTAATTTGCCACAGGCCTATGATGCTACTGGTAAGTTGAACCATTCTAACCTTTCTAATAATATAGTACACTCTTTTGATATGTTTTGTAATCTATTTGACTTTAATCAACAGAATCACTTAACTAATATTAACAATCATATTCTCGATTTTGTAATCTCCAATCTAACCTGCAAAATATCAAAAGAATGTATGCCTTTCGTACGGGAGGATACGCACCATCCTAGTCTCGAAGTCTCAATAGAAATTAATTTACCTAAATATAATACCTTAATTAACACGCATCAACAAAAATACAACTTTAGGAAAGCTAACTTTAATCTAATATATCAAGACTTGTTTAACACTAATTGGTCAGTAATAGAAAATTCCCTTTCAGTAGATGAAGCTTGTGACAAATTTTATGAGACACTCTACTCTATATTTGACCAACACGTTCCACCTTCTGTTTACCGCAAACGTCAGTTTCCAGTTTGGTATTCCTCTGAAAAAATATAAAGAGAAAATCACGCCTGCACAAAAAACTAGGTTTTAATGGTGACACTTTTAGAGCAGAATACAATCGATTACGCTCGTTAATTAAGATTCAAATAAAAACGGAGTATGAACGATACATCGAATCTACTGAGCATAACATAAATTCCGATCCAAAACAATTTTGGTCTTATATTAAATCTAAACAAAATGGATTTCCAACAATTAATAATTTATTAAAAGATAATAATTCTGTAAATAACCCTCAAGAAATAGTTAATATGTTTGCCGAATTCTTTCAGTCAGTTTATACCACCCCATCAAATAGTACAAATATATCTCCTGCCAATAGGGATGAACTACTCGATATTTCAATTTTTACATTATCAGAGCAAGACATATCTAAATCTCTTAAAAAACTAAAACCACGAATGAATCAAGGACCAGATCAAGTACCTAGCTTCATCATTAGAGACTGTTCTGAGGTATTAAAAAAACCCCTATCATACATCTTTAACTTATCTCTAAAACATTGCTCTTACCCTACTAGGTGGAAAATCTCTAAGGTCACACCTATCTTTAAAAAGGAAAATCCAAATCTTGTTGACAATTACAGGCCAATCTGTCAAGTGTCAGGATTTTCGAAAGTCTTTGAGATGTCTGTATATGATAAGATTTTTCCACAAGTAAAATTTTCAATTAATCCTTCCCAACATGGTTTCTTTAGTTCGCGCAGTACCATCACTAATCTAACTTGCTTCACTAATTTTACTACTTCTGCATTAGACCATCATCAGCAAGTGGATACAGTTTACACAGATTTCTCAAAGGCTTTTGACCGCCTAGACCACTTAATATTGGCAAAAAAATTATTAAATCTAGGGTTTGACAGAAAACTCGTTGATTTTATTTCTTCATACCTCAAGGGAAGACTGCAATACGTTGAGTTGAATGGCTTTTTTTTTTTTATTCGAAGCTACAAGTGGGGCTCCACAGGGAAGTAATCTTGCTCCCCTGCTATTTTCGCTATTTATCAACGATATTGTTTCTGTTCTCAAATGTAATACACTTTTATTTGCCGATGATCTAAAGATATTTAAAATCATTACTTGCAATGACGATTGCCATCAGATGCAAGATGATTTATTTGCCCTTGATCAATGGTGCAATGAAAACAGACTACCTCTTAATGTAAAAAAATGTAAGGTTGTGTCATACTCCTTAAAGCATGATTTTTTTATCTATAACTATCAAATTCAATCTATGTCACTTGCTCGCGTCTCAAATTTCAAAGATCTAGGGATTACATTTGATTCCAAAATGTCATTCAACTCACATATTGCAGCCATTTCTGCTTCTGCCACAAAACTATTGGGATTCATATATCGCTCCTGCAATAAGTTTAAAAATGCTTCTACAACTAAACTACTATACTTCCATTACATAAGAAGTAAATTAGAGTATGGATGCCTAATCTGGAATCCTTATTATGAGGCTCATATTCAACATTTAGAAAAAGTTCAGCGTAAATTTGTCAAATATATGGCTTTTAAAATGGATGGAGTGTATCCTACCCGTGGATTCGATCACACTCGGTTACTTCAAAGGTTCAACTTGCCAACTTGCAAGGATAGACGAGTTTATATATCTTTAATTTTTTTGTACAAGTTGGTTAATGGTATGATTGATTGTTCTGATTTATTATACCAACTAAATTTTTATGTTCCCTTAAATACCAGATCTAAAAATCTGTTCTACCTACCCTCAGTAAGTACTAATATCATGCTAAAATCGCCTTTACATATCATGTGCAGGGAACTAAACAAAATTAGTCCACATATTGATATATTCAATCAAACTTTATGTAGTTTTAGTAAGTCAGTGAAAAATATCTTATTTAATCAATAATAAACTTGGCGGGCTGTATCCTATCAAATGTTCATTTATTTGTAAACTAATATTTTTTTTAATTACTTTGTATATTTTCTTACTATTCTTATCTGAATTGTCTTATTAATGGATGTAATTCTGTTAGACAATAAAGCTTATTATTATTATTATTATTATTATTATTATTAAGAAAATATCTTTCTATTTTATTGAAAAGAACCTACCAAACTTATTCAAACGTATTAGTTCACAAATTCTTTAAAATCTCAAATACATAACACAAGAAACAGTGACATTTTTTTGTTTTGTTGTTTTTTTTATGACTTATGACAAACGAATGTCTACGTTCGAAAACAATATGATGTTCACAGTACTTCTCGTGGATATGTTTTAGGCAAATTACTTTATTACGTTGTGTTATCAATACGTAAGTAACAAGTTTTGCGAGGTTTTGATTTCCCTCAACAACTTCTCATGAACGTTGCATTCACGTTTTATAGTAATGTTATTACGTTCCCTTAAAACAACATCGCTGAAATGCTTGGCAAAGTTATGTGCTAGCTAGGGAGTGTTTGGTGATTTCGTAGCTAGAAAAAGAATTGGAGCACATGATTATATAAAATTAAAGTCATAAAATGGGCCAAGTATTTACTTTTATTAATGTGAGACGATACTTAGGAACACCCTGTATACTCTTAAATTCATTTTTGTCAAGCGAAAGCAACAGACCAAGAAAACTCGCATTTTGTTGGTTATTTGTTCGATATAGCAATTTAGAAAAGCTAATAACCGTTTCGGCCCTATTTCGATGTGTAAGTTCCATACGTGTTTTTTTTCCAGAAAAAAAAAAAACCTAATAAAATGAAACGTCGGTCGATGTGCCTTCAACCATATGTTATTGCCCTAAATTCGGCCATTTTTATGTAACAAGGCAGTCACTTTCGTGATATCGTTTGTAGGTCGACGTCTGCATATCAGATTAAAAATTATCTTTCAATGGCTTTTACAGGAATTTCCACGGACGTTTAGTAGCCAGGGTTGAATCAAGGATTATACATTCAGGAAGTATTCAAGAAAAAATTCACTAGAGTGATTACGTTTATTTTATTTGAAGCAGACAATTATTAAACGACTAACCATTTTTAGTACGAATTCAAAAAGATTGTTGTTTAATGTTGTAATTAAATATTAGGAACATATTTAAAAATGAAAAAAAGAAAGGCACATATGCTTATAATATAACAGGTTAACAATAAGTAAATAGGAATATCTATATTATGATATATTGGTATATAATTAAAAATAAAGCAAACTATTTAAGGGGATTCTCATTCTCATATATTGAATAGAAACACCAAAATTTTGAACATGTTCAATTAGAACATGTTCAATTAGAACATATCAAAGTTTAATTTATTTCGCCATAAATTAAACAGTTGAAAATAGAACGATTCTGGCCTGATATAAGTGTGAAGATAAGTTTTTTTTTTTTTAATATAGTGTTTCTGCTTAAGAAAAGTCCCCATAAATATCTTTAAATTAGCGTTTTAAAAATATATTTTACAAAATTTAAATAAAAAATTCATGTCAAATTCACTTTTACTTACGTAGAAATGTCCTTTACTATTTCACGTTCATTTAAAAAATTAAAATTCCAACATTGTAATCAAAATAACGAACATAACCTCAATTCAATTAG